TTTTTTTTTTTAATTTTTTTTTTCTTCAAAAAACCACCTCCAGGAGGAATTTTTTTTTTTAGCCTCTTCTTTTAAATGTTAATGAAGAAACATGTGAATTCAAGGTCCCAGAAATGAGCAGCTGACTCCAGAGTTACCCAGACGAACGAAACGAGTTCTAAATGCTTCAAGGTGTGAAACGGGGAACACAGCCATCAGTCTTTTAGGAAGAACTTTGTGGGTACCAGCACTCCCACTGTGACCATTGTCTTCCCAGTTCCAGTTGCTGCCAGAAACGTGACCTCATTGTTCTCTAAGGACCAGTTGCAATGGCCCCTCCACCTTCCCTCCCCTACAGCAAGCTGGTTCGGGAACCGAGGACCCCGCACACAGCGGACTTGGTGTGCGGAGAACCCACAGCCAGTGCAGCCTCCAGAGACCCACACAGGCCAGAAAGGGTCCCGAGCAAATACCAGGGTACCTGTTAGAATTTTCCCGAATGCTGTAAAAAAGAACAAGTGTGAGCACTCCGTCACCTAAAAGCCTGTGACCAGAAGCTTTACAATGGTTGATGATGGATCTCCAGAGCCTGGGGCGTCGGTGTGTGGTACGAGACTGGGCAATGAGCGAGCAGGGATCTCCAGGTGAACCCGGGGAAAGAGGAACAGTTGACTTACATCAGGCCTGGAACTCCGAGGAATTTCCGGGAAATTAGGAAAAGACAGTCTGCTCTCCGACTGTTGTGGGGACAAGGGGGGAGAGGTAGGGCTCTTGCCAGACGCTGCAAGGGACAAACCAGGCCCACTTCTTAGTCTTGGCTCCTTTACTGAATTCTCGGGGAGACCTTTCTTCATGACTTGGTACCCCAGATTCTTCCCTAAGGATGACAGGCTTTGCATCCATTTCGGGACTGGGGGCTGGCCCCACCTCATGGGATTGTTTCACACAAAACCGCCTGGCCCCCACTCAGATGCAGGATCCCCAGAGACCTGCTCACCCCCTAAAGTATGGAAGGAAGTGGGGAGAGGCAGTCTGCAACGGCCTTTCTGCACGCACAAGCCCTGTGTTCAGCTGACACCACGAATCTCTCCGTCCTTCTCCGCAGAATGAGCTTGGTGTCCCAGGAAGGCCTGAAGCTGAGACAAGGAACTGCAATTTCTGATCTTCATGTGGCTGAGGTACCCGGTACTGCCAGGCGCCTGCCGGGTGATGGAATACTCCTTCCTCGGAGAGAGGAAGGAAGGTCAACGATGTTCTGGTCCATGATGTTCTGGGCTGTGTTTCTCTAGGGTGGCCAAAGACATGGAGAGTTTATGCTCTGAACGCTGAGGTCATTCCAGACGAACCTCTCCCAGCTTTTCCCTCCTGCCCAGCGGGGAGACTACGGAACACTGGAGTCACATAAGCCGGGACGAGAAACTGTCACTTGTCACCCCGCCCACCCGGGAGCAGACGGGGAGGAGCCCGTTCTAGAGGTAAAATCGGTTATCATGACCACCGCTACTTAACATACAGGCTGAATTGTTTTAAATACAAGGGTTCACATCCACAAGAGGTAACTAAGAGGTAACTGAGAGGTGCTGAGGTAACCTCACGTCCACCCCAGAGCCGTTTCAGCTGCCAAAGTCCCAGGTCTCCAATAACTAGAAAATCGCAACTGAGGGAGATGGCGGACATTTCCCTAGAAGACAGCAGCATTGACGTCGTCTTGGAAATATTTCTTCTGTCTAGTGTAATCATAATTCACTCGAACATTTTAGTAAAAGTATTAAAATATACTTCATCTTTTCCTCTAACTACATTTATATATAAATCCCTGAGAAGGTACCTGTCAACTTGAAATTCACTATTTACAGTTAATAAATATCAGGGGAGCAAGCAGACCCCAGCTCCCCCATTCCCTCCGACAGCAGAGTGGTGCTGTCATCTGTCAGGAGACCAAACTAGGTCCCCCTCCCTTAAATGGGCATAAGGGGGGAGCGGGGTGGCTCAGTCGGTTGAGCATCCGATACTTGGTTTCGGCTCAGGTCATGATCTCATGGGTTGTGGGATTGAGCCCCACCGTCGGGCTCCTTGCTCAGCGTGGAGTCTGCTTTAAAGATTTTCTCCCTCTGTCCCTCCTCTTCTCTCTCTCTCTCAAAATAAATAAATAAATCTTAAAAAATAATAATAATAAAAGGTGTGGGGGGCTGTGCCAAAATCCTAAACCATCTGCACAGAAGCTGGGGAAATCTGTCCTTCAGTCACTGGGTCGGTGGAGGTCATTATGTAATTCAGCAGGGACACCACACTGCCTCTCATGATCGCCTTGCTTTTCTGCCCTTTTTAGACCTCAGGGTGGTGGTGCCAGGGAGGATCAGGGCAGCTAGCCGCAGCTGCCGAAGTAAACAGGCAAAGGAAGGAGAGGCAAGCAAGGAAGAGAGCGGGCAGAGGGGAAGGCAGGAAGAAATGTGGCGACGAAGCTGAGGGGACATGCGGAGAGCAGGAGGAGGTGACTGCCCATCATCACCCCTGCCCCTGACCAATGCTGGAAGCGAGCAAGAGGCAAAGGGCGACCCCTCAGTGAGAAAACGCAGCCAGCCATTCAAAGCAATGAAAATACATAAACCAGACAATGATCTCAAAGGATGCCGGGTCGTACTGTCAGGGAGACTAGGGGTGTTTCTCTTCACCTCGGGGACCAGCTCTCGTCTCATCCAAGGGGACCTGGCCAATACCAACTCTTGGACACTAGGGTGACCTGCAGCCACCCAGTGTCGGTGATGCTAAAAGCGGGTCCAGACCTCTATGCCATTCTGGAAAGAGGGAGGAGCTCACTAAAATCTGACTTATCATCACACCTAGCCATCAGGCTGGTGCTGCGCAATGAGTGTTAATTGAGGTTTCTGGAGAGGTGAGTGTGAGACCCCGGATAGCTCAATGCCTCACGGTGCCAAGTGGGAGGGACTAAGGAGAGGCCAGCGCCATCCCTGTCCACGTCATGAGACAGGCGCTCATCACACCCCAGCCAGGGAGCACGATTTGACATGCGAATCCAGGGTTGTAAGAGCTTCCAAATCGGTCTCCACTATTTTAAATCTACAGCTTCCGAGGAGGAGAATTTTTAAATAAAGTGCTGTCAGAGTGCATATATGACAGATACTCTGCAACCCAGATGGCCAGAGATTCAGTAGACTCTCTCAGTGCTTTGGAGATTAAAAAAAAGTATGGACAGAACTCCCACTGAGAGCTCAGGGCTCCGGGCAAATCACGTACATGCTCTGCCCAAGACCCCGCATCTTGGAAATTCTACAAAGTCCGCATGAGGATAAACTGAACATCACGGGCAGTCCAAGGAAAAATAAAAGTAATTCCACACCAGGAATTGAGTCTGGAGGAGGGAGCCATCCAACCCACTCCAGGAGAATTTGCCTAAAACAAGTTTGCTTAATATTCAGTTCTAATCCCTGTTCTTCTAGCCCACCCCCCTTCTCAGCGGTTTGTATCACTCTGGTGCCTTATTCTTTTGCATCTTTTTTACATTTTAAGGATATCTGAATTCAATTTATCTAAGAGCGCAGAGGACTTAATTTTGTATTTCTAGTAAAAATTTATTACATTTGCCCCCATTTTATTAGATAATAGATTTTTCTCGTATCTATTTTTGAATATGTTAAAGGCTTTGCATCCAGTTTATCTAAAGTCCCTTGCTTAAAATACTTAGTTCCAGCAATAAGTACATGCTTCTCTATGCATGGTTTCATACTTTGACAACAGGTTTTTCTTCATTATTATTACCGTCTAAGTAAGAGAGCTTTAAAATAAGACACAAGGAAATCTGATTCCCCTGTCTCACGTCATCATTTTGCTGGAAAAGGAAATGCCTCCATCAAATAGAAACAAATATTCAGAATCACTGAATCAAATCAGTAAGAACATACAATGCTCATGTGCGCGTCCAATGAGAAGGAACGAGAAACAGCAAGAAAGGGGAGACTTCGACAAATTCTGTATGAAATCATAGAGATATCACAAATAATTATTGCCAGAAACAGTATGTTAAACAAAGGGTCTTCGGGCAAATGTATTAAAACCGTCTTAAATACAAACAGCCCCATCACCAGTAAAATGCTGCAAATTTGATCATGATTAAAAATACAAAATTATTCAGACCCTTTGATAAACTGGTCTTATAAATTTCTCAAGTGAGGTTCTAAAGGTAGGCTTCGAGGCAAATTTGCCCACCAGGTGTACTGATCGCTAGGGGAACTGGTTTCAGGCGAATCGACCTGTGCCCTGCCCAATTCACGCAAGGGTGCAGCCTGAGCAAACAAACAAGGAGCCCTTCTGGGTCCAGGTTCGAGGGAGCCTGTCTGCCGGGGATGTGCAGGGAGGTGCAGCGCTGCGGGAGGGGCGAGGGCAGGAGGGAGGCACACCCGCATCCTTCTCCGCGCGGAGCCCCGCTGCCCCCTCCCCCACCGCACACGCTTCCAGGCAGCTGACCCCTCACGTCCTTTTCCTCCAGGAGGGCGCCCGCTTTTCCTTCTTCGCCGCTGCAGCCACACGCTGCTTCTCCGCCTCTTCCGCCTTCCTCTTTTCCTCCTTGGCCTCCTTGTACCGCCACTTGGGGAGCTGCAGGTGGGTGCTGTCCTTGGTGCTGCCCTTGGCGGCCGCCCGCTCCGGCTGGAAGGTGGGCGCGGGCGCCTTGCTGATGCGTACCCTGGGGATGACCACGCCGGGCCGCACGCTGCTCCTCCTCAGCAGCTGCAGGGGCAGGAGGCTGGTCCTCCGCGGGGCCCCCGGCAGCTGCGGAGACGGGAGGCTGGCTCTCGGGGCCACCTCTCTAGAGACCCCGACGGCCTGGGAGGTCCGGAACGGCTGCTCAGAGTCCTCGATCTTGTCACTCTCCTGGGCGTGCGTGTCCCGGTTCCCCCGAGCCTCCAGGATTTCCTGCACCGCCAGCCGCCTTTTCCCCACACAGGGGGGGTTCTCGGGGCACACAGTCTGGCAGACGATGGCCACGGCGGGGCTGTAGAGGCTCGTGGTCATCCTGACCATGTGGTCCAGGACACCCCCATCCTCCAGGCCCTGGCGTGAGCGGGAGGTCAGCATGGACCTCACAAGCTCGGTGAGCCTCTGCAAGCAGTTTTTGGAGCCCGAGGGCTTCAGAACGGCCTCCGGGGGCAGCGGCAGCTCTGGTTTGTATTTTTCCCCAAACTGTTCCGGGCAGGGTCGCTCCAGCAGCCTCTGGATGAGGCGGACGGCCTCCAACCGTCCGGTGTAAGTGGCCCACTCCTGGGGCGACATCCCACGGCGGGGGTCCCTGGCATGGACATCTGCTCCTGAAAATAAAAAAAAAAACGCAAACACAAACAGTAATGGGTGAATGCGACAAGAACTTTCCCGGCCAGTGGCAGGAAACGAAAGAGTGAAATGGATCAAAGGTAAAACTTCCAAAACCTAGTGACAGACTACCTGGAGCTGTGCCACCTGGATGAACGTGCAGCTGACCGTGAACTACTGCATGTACTATTATTACAACACAACCCACCTTTAAGTGCTCCGTTTAATGGCCCACCTTTCCTAAACAAAACTGCCTGAACTCAGCACCTAAATCATGGGATTTTTAAAGAAATAAGATTTCATGGCTTTCCAGCAATGGAGAGATGACTAGACAGCAAAGGTGCTCTGTGAACATGTCAATGATGTTACTAGAATGTTCTAGAATACTAAAAGGAATAATCACTTGCAAAGCATCTGGTGTCCTATTTACTTATCATCTCATGTTTTCCTCACAGATCTCTTGTGAGGAATGTGAGGGTCCCTATTTTGCAGGAAATGTGTGGTCCTTCACTTCTTGTACTGAGTGGTTAGGAGGTCCTGGGTCTATCCTCTTTACCAGATCCTGGGCTTTTCCAGGGCAGAGCCCACATCTTACTCGTTTTCGTTTCCTCACACTTCTCACCCTGGCTGGTAGGAGGCATGTATTGAATAGAGGTTTGTTACAGAATGGATGGTAGTCACAGTGGCCAAGGGACCTACCTGAGGCCTCAAAGATGGTAATAGAGAAAGTCTCAGCCCTGTACACTTCCTGCCACCCTGCAGAGAGAGGACCGCTTCCTCTGACAGTTACTTGTCTGTGTCAACATGGTCAGACTAAAGTACCCAGGGATTTAAACAAACACCAATCTAGCTAGGTGCACAGTAAAGGTATTTCACAGATGCAGTTGGCACCCACAATCAGTTGACTGAGCGAAGATGATCCTCAATAATGTGGGTGGGCCTCATCCAATCAGTTGAAGGCCTTTAGACCAAAAGCTAAAGTTTTCGGGAGAAAAAAGAATTCAGCCTCAAGACTGTAGCATTAACTCCTGTCCAAGTTTCCAGCCCGATGGCCTGCCCCCACTAATTTTGGGCTCTCCAACCCCCAAAATCACGTGAGCCAATTCTTTAAAAGAAATCTCTTAATGTATATCTCTTGTTGGTTCTGCGTCTCTGGAGAACCCTGCCTCCTACATCCTCAGTCTCCCTTACACTAGTCACTTCCTTAATAAATCTCCCCCATACCACCCACTGGCCCCTCCTAATACTGCAAATTTAAACTTCAACTCAACTTGATGAAATGTTCATAAATTTCAGCGTGGTACTATAAGAGAAATTAATAAGGAATTGCTGTTCAATTCATCTTGGTCCAATCTCAGCCTCATATAGTTAAAAATCATTCAGGATTTCAGGTCCCATTAGTCATACTTTCCCTGGCAAAGCAATGTGGAGAACTAGGGCAATTATCTAGTCTGTGAGCTCCCCAGGGACCAGGAGTGGCGGAGGCTTCTGCATTTATATCCCACGCAGACCCAGGTGTCTGACGTGCGGCGGCAGCTCAGCGTGTGCTGAACGGAGGCGAGGACAGCTCACCAGCCTCCCTGCCCCGGCACCCCTCCCGTGGCCCCCCGGCCCAGGCAGGCCCAGCCCACCTGAGATCGCCTCATAGTGCTCTTCATCCTGGGGCACATTTAAAAAATAGGCATACTAGAGGAGTGGTAATTATTCGGAACTGGAAATCGGGATGGAACTCATTAGCCAGAGTACAATTTATAAACTGACAAAAATGAAAAGGGGGCAGTAAAAATGTCACCGCAAAAAATAGATGACACATTAAACCTTAATTAATTGCATGTCACTTAAAAAGGTACAAACTGCAAAATTAAAATCTTAATGAACACGGCTGGAGAGAGACATTTTTCAAGAGCTAATGGAAAACTAAAGGAACAGCTGTCCACGGTGTAGCACACTTCTTCCTGTGCCTTCCTCGTGCCTCTTCAAGATGATCTTGGAAACTGCACACATTCTGAAGAACAAGGCCATGCGGACGGGGGTGCAGCCTAAGGATGTGATTCATGCCATGATTTGGGGATCCACTTCCTTCAGCAATCAGTAAGGGCAATATTAACAGCCTGGACGGTGTGATTAAATCATGGAAGGCCAGCACCAATGATGAACCCTATATACAGAAACCTTTCAGAGAACACGGAGAACTCTGATAGGCCAGTGTATGCGTCCTCTGCCCATGAACTACTGGCACCCTCACCCCCTACCCAAGGCTGTTTCACCCAGGGCTCCAGCCACGCAGACAAAAGTTGGGCTCCCACCCGTGCATCCGTTTGCCGCCATGTTGAATGCTATGAGTTGTCTACACAAAGTCCTCTGTTTTACTCAAGGCAGCAACATACTCAGTTCTAGGCAATGCATCATGACTGGTGTAAACCAGGGTTTTGCCACCTCGGGACTGTTGATGTTCTGGGCCAGACCATTATGTGGTGTGGGGGCTCTCCTGTGCATTAGTAAGACTTCTAACGGCAACCCTTGTCTCTACCCAGTACATGCCAGTAGCATTTCACAGTTGTGACAGGCCAAAATGTCCCCAGATATTACCAGATGTTCTGGGGGGGCGGCGGGGGGCAACACCCAGTTGAGAATTACTGGTCTAACCCAGTAACTGCAATCCTGTTCCCCTTTGTCTTAGCCTCGCCTACAGCTGGTCATCGAGCCCCAAAGAGAAGGCTTTTGTACCCTGATAAAAGTGACTATGTGGTTGGTGGTGCTGCTTCCTGTCTGCAGCCTACAGTTCTGGTGACCAAGTTTCAGGCGGGAGAGGAAGGGGGGGTCATAGGGGGTGCTGGGTGGACAGAAAAAGGAACCTAGTTCTGTGATGTCCTCATGGAGTTCAGGCCAGCTCTGCACCGTGACTGCCTACCTCAAGACTTCTGGCGAGGTGGGCAAAACAGATGCTTGTTTTCTTTCAGCCACTGTCAAGTCAGGATGTCTGTGACGGGAAGCAGAAAGCGTTCTAAAACAGGTGCTAAAGGAAAACAAACTACCTTCCATCACTCACCGTCAGAAGCTTTCTCCGCAGAGTCGTGGCCAGGTCATGGGACTAGCAGTAGGCAGGCAGAGCCTGGGGTGCGTCACTTCCTTTCCTGTTTCTCTGCCAGCCCCCCATGTTATCTACCCTTCTAAGCCCAGCATTGGTCCCCCTCCGACCAAGAGGCCTTTCTGGTCTCACGGGACCCTTTTGGACCCGTCCCTGCAGGTCTCCTCCTGTGCCATCCTGGCCTGTGTCTTGGGTACTTGGGATATAATCGATGTGAAAAATCAGGATGCAGGGTCTCAGGAAAGAGACCTGATTTGAGGGGTGGGAAAGATGCTTTCTGCTTCCAGCCTGCCCCACCCCCGAAGGCATTTCCGAGCTATCTTGTACTCGGTCTTTCAGAGGGTCTCAACAGGGCTGACCCCCAGCTGCCCAAGGATCCCCCTTCCCCATCCTTCACGTGGCTTCCTGGCTCCTCTTCCAGAAAAACTAGTTGCCCCCAAGTCCTTTTCTCAAGGTTTGCTTTCGGGCCAAGCGAAATGCCCAAGCTAAGACCCTGCCCTCGGTGACATGGAATGCCTGACTTTTGGCCCTTTCCCTGCATAATCATTTGAAACTATTCCAACTCAGCAAATTCTCAGGTCACAGGAAATCCATGTTTTCCTTATAAACAGAAAGAAACCTCTGTAGTGATATCAAATCACTTGGCTTTCCAGAAGCACACAGTCAGGGCTTGCCTGGGACAAGAATGGCCACAGGCCCAACAACAGGAGTGCCTCTCCCTCGTTGAACAAGCCTCCTACACCTCCCGAGAGGTCTGCTTGGTTGCCCAGAATCACGGGAAGAGGCGAGCATCTTGTTTGCACATGTCTGCTTCCCAAATGCTACAGCAATCACACACTTCAGGGATAAAAGCCGGCTCTCTTAAGCGAGTCTGGAGCCTTCCAACCTCCACTGAGCTCTGCTTCTCTTCAGAGAAAATCACATCCTCCTTATGGCTTCTCAGAGCCACTTATTTAAATAGACCTGTCACTTCGGGGCATTAATATTCCATTGAATTAACAAGAACCCACAGCCCCATTTGCGATGCGTCATCAGCAGAGCTGACATTATTCCTTGGGAAGCCAAAAACCAAAGAGCCAATAAATCAGCTTTTCGGAACCTGGTTACATTTTTATGAAAATCCAAAGTTTTGATAATTCTAACGTTACTTCGTTCTGCCTGACAAGGTAAAATAAGAAGATGATATGTGTCTGGATGTTATGAACTACTGGAAAATCTAAACCATTTAGGGGGGCATCCAACTCAATGATCCATCATTTCTAAAAGGAAATGGTTCCTATTGAGTATAATGAAGGTGCAATTCGGAAATTCAACTCAGGTGCAGAAGGATGCTTGCGCTTGAAAAAATGAGGATGAGATAGATGCACATCTCTACCCTAACCATTCAACGTAATACTGTTCGTGCCTTTTGCTTTTGAAATGATCACAGGATGCCCATTCTGTGATTAGCTCTCAAGGAACCTTCCCCAGCCGCACACAAATGCACTCGCTGTTGAAATGCCAATCCAAAGAAATATTCAGGCATTATTATCTTTAAAGGCTTTAGTTTTTCTAAATATTGATATATTAAATTTAAATAACAAAACTTAAAAATACTTGTGCACATTTTTTAAATATCCCAACCAGTATCCTTATTGGTATCCACCCAAGCCAGGAGGGACTTTGATCGCACAAGTCTTTTTTTTTCTTTTAAGACATACATGCGCATCTACTATAAAAGGAAAACGTAATGCATTTTCCTGGGGCATTCAGGAGGGCACTTGTGATGAGCTCTGGGTTTTGTATGTAAGTGATGAAGCACTACATTCTATTCCTGGGACTAATATTACACTACATGTTAACTAACTAGAATTTAAATAAAAACTTGAAACATTAAAAATCAATCGATCAATCAATCATAGTTGGGGGGGGAGTAAATTACTAAAAACCTACACTCAATTATAACTAGCTCCAGAAGTAGTAAAAGCAGATGAAGCTTCCCCCAAACACAAAAGCGTCATAAACACCGTTTAATTAGGAAGAACGACCTCTTGTTGCTATAGGACAGGCAAGGCCTAAACTCAGTTGAAACTGTTATCTTGCCTTTAAAAAATGAACTGTCAGAGTCAAAAGCACAATCAATGAGATTAAATCTAATTACATTCTTTTTTATTTCTGTGAAAGTTTTCATCTCTGAAATCTGTCATCACTTACTGAACTTCTTTTTCTTCCAGCATCCCCTAAAACACTCAGATTGAAGTGGGAGAAAAGAATCTAAGCAAGCTGTGAATCCTAGAACCCCAATGTAATCACAAGGAAAATGACAGACAGGCTGGGGACACTGTATACAGGCCAGTATGGAGACTGTCAGGTGAGGAATGAGGAGGTGAGACTGAGAAACTGTCCCCGGCCTCAGGACCCTGGGGACACGGGACAGTTACATGTGGGAGCCTGGATGGGATCCTGGTACGGAAAGGGGACAGCAATGGATGCATGGGCGAAATCCGAATAAAGTCTGGAGTTCAGTTAATAGTAATGTACCAGCGTTGGCCCCTCTGTAAGATGTTAACATGCAGGAGACAAGTGAGGGCCATCTGGGACTTTCTGTACTATTTCTGTCACTTTCCATACATCTAAATTAGTCCCAAATAAAAGTTTCCTTTAAAAAAAAGAAGAAGAAGCAAGGTGGGGGTGCCCATCTTTCCACTCGGTGACATGTCACTCACAAAGGAAACTGCTGCATCCTGTATCAGCATGTGACTCCAACCACCAGCAAGTGGGGATCTAGGATGGCTACTGGGCCCACACCGCCATCCCTGTGTCCACCCTCAATGGGACAGGCTTGCACTCAGAGCCAAGACCCTCAGATGCCCCCATCTTTGTGCTCACCCTCAATGAGACAGGCTTTCACTCGGAGCCGAGACCCCCAGATACCGCCATCCCTGTGCCCACCCTCAGTAGGAGAGGCTTGCCGCTCAAAGCCAAGGCCAGAACACACATTTCTAAAGAAGAACAAATATGGGCAGGAGGAAGCTAAGATGGAGGGAAGAGTTTATCAGGGTGCAAGGAGGGGTTTCCTGTAGGGTGACCAGTAATGTGACCTCCCGCCCCACCCAGAAGGGTTTGCTTTCCTTTCCATCTGTTTCAACTCAGTTGATGACAACCACACCCTTCAAAGAAACTATTCTTCGTTGCATCCACTAGGCTCCGTCTCTATGGAACTGATGCATCTCAGTACATGTTCTCCAAAGGAGCAAGATCGGCATTTCCCAAGACCTTTGGGGACCCCACCCCCCATCCCTGCCCCAGGATGGGCGGAGACAAACCTGCTAACATCAGGGCTCGGATGCACTCCGTTCGGCCCTGCATGGCAGCTTTCATTAGGGCAGTGAACCCAAACACGTTCCTCCTCTCAAGGTCAAGGCCAGGAAAATAGTTCAGCAAGTAGTTGGTGATGGTGGCATGCCCTGCGAAGAGAATCACACACGTTTATCGAGCCCATTCCACCAACAGTGTGCATGCCCCGGAAGCCTCCCCAGAGCCAGGACGGCCACACGGTCAACCTCCAGGACCAGCCCATCTGTGTGGGTGGCTGAGGCTGCCCCTGAGACACGAGAAATAATTCTCACGGCGTCCAGGAAACCGCAAGACACAGGGCGCCACCCCAGTTCATTCCGGTTCTCTGTGGCCCACCCACCGGGGAGCCCAACTGTCTGTCAACTGGGTAAGGAGGGACCGTGGGGAGCCAGCATGTGGTGGGGGCGGCATATGGAAACTGCACTAAGCGAGCCTCTGGCGACGCTGGCTGATCGGGGGAAGGTCCTGGATGCTGTCAGTTCCCAGCAGGAGATGCCAACGCAAACAGATGCAAAACTAAAAATGAACCTCAGAGCCATTTCTCAGTGCTCCCTAGGAGAGGGTCATCATCACAGCAAGGGGATATGCCAATTCATGCTGTCACCTGCTGTTACCACTCAGACGTGTCTCTGTCTGTCTGTCTCTTTCTCTCTGTTACACACACACACAAACACACACACACACACACACAGAGGCAGGAAGCAAGGAACGTGGGGAATGTTGCTACCCAGACCCACCCAGCCCCTGCACCCCCAGGCCCTTCTCTGAGCTGCCATCCCCAACCTCGCCCCTGCTGACCTCAGCTAATAGGCCCTGGAGAGTTCAAGCAGTCTGCAGGAGTCTCTCCCCTGGGCACCGGTGGAGGGGCTGGGTGCCCAGTCTCCTTCCTTACACGCTGGGGATCCAGCCCTCTGAAATCTCCCCGTTCTTCCCAGTGCACAGATGTTCCTGGGGAACCCCCACTGTCAGGCTGCAGGCGTGGGGCCTCGTGGACACTCCGGTGCTCTCTGTCATTAACTGAGCATCACCTCCTCTCCTCCCCCTCCGGCCCCCGGGGGGCCTCTGCACCATCGAGATGCCAGAGCCATGAAGCCCCTTCCCCAGCTGACTCTGCAACAGGTAGCGCATGAGATCTGGGATGTGGCAGAGGAGGTGAGGCCTCATGGCTGCCCACTCTCAACAAAAAGTGGGGTGCGGATTCTTCTGGAACCATTGTTGTCTGCTTACCATGGACCTCAGCCCATCTCCTGAACTCACGGCAAAAATTAAAAGGTGAGCCATGAAGCTTTCTGAGAGAGAAACACTGACTAATATGACCTCGCCCGAAACAAGCTACAAATGGGTACATGCGGGTGTACCCCACTATCACCATGACTCACGGATTCCAAACAGCAGCTGGTGCTTTTTCACGCAGTTACTCACTCGGCCCTCCATTGTCATCGAAGGTGCCAGGGTGGGGAAGACGCTAGCTGGCAGGAGCCTGGAGCAGCTTAACTGCTCTCAACTGTGTGTGTGTGTGGGGGGAGGGGGGCGTCCTTTGATCTCAGGTTCGTCACTCAGCGTTTATGCTCTCAACTGTGTGTGTGTGGAGGGGGGGGTCCTTTGATCTCAGTTAGGTTCGTCACCCAGCGAAACACTTTGCAGCACCTGTCAGTTAGATTTAGAGTGAAACGAACTGCAATTCGTTTAGAGCCATTTCTTTTAAAATGTGAAAGCGTCTGTCGTAATTTGCAGCAGGATGTCCTTTGCACCATTATATCCTGAACACTCTGAACAGTCGGGGAGAGGAAATATTGAAAATCCACAAAGCAAACAGCCCATTATACAGAACTGTTCTGCTTATTATGTTGAGCTCTGGAAAACCAACATGTGGCCAACTTGTTCTGACTACAGGCACAAGCTTTCAATAATCCATGAAATCCAGCCCGCCTCCCCACTGGCTTTCTCAGGACACAGATGGCCTTGTTCAATGAAATCAAGGATGGACAAGATGATTCTAAGTATATACAGATATTAACCTCTCTTCTGTTAAAAACAAGACAACAGGTCCAAAATGGAGTCGCTTATGCTAAGCCCCCAATCACCAAACCGAGACTTAATTACAGTTTGGGTTTTTCCAGAGATGTAATCTTAAACCAATCAATCAGGAATCACCTGATCAGCACTAGTGATCCTGATCATCTGCCTGATAGACCCCTGGCATCCCCTAAAGGAAAGTGACCTTGCAATAACCAACCCACTTTTCTGCCCTGTATAGTTTCCTTATTCTTCCTCCCCGCTTCCCTTCCTTCCTCCTCTGACTATAAAAATCTCCTACTGTGTACAACTCCTTGGAGCGCCTTTCTATCTGCTAGATGGGATGCTGCCCAATTTGAATCAACTTTTGCTCAAACTCGACATTTTTAATTTGCCGCAGTTTCTCTTTTAACACTTCTTTGAAACCATGACAATTAACCAAGGGGAGCTTTCCTTTTCTTTAGTAAGACAGACAGATAGTGATAGATAAATAGGTAGACGGACAGGCTAACGCACACAGCCTTCCTTACATAACAGAACCAGAATATGCACCATACTGAAATCTAGTTTGAGCCCAGTCCAACTTTCTGGGATAGGATTTGGTTCCTGAAGTCCTCCGACAAAGCCCTTCCTAAGGGTGGGCTCACCATAGAGACCCCCGAAGTGCCCCCGAGAGCCTGCCTAAGGGAAGAGCGCAAGTGACCCAGGGGTTAAGTGAATTCTGGAAGAATTAGCTTCAGTAGCATGATTAAATGCCAGTGTAGAGAGAGAACTTAGGACTTAGAAGAGCTGATTGTGAGAACACCCAAGTTCAAGTCCCAGCCTGTCACTTAAAATCTGGGCTGTTTGGGGCTCCTGGATGGCACAGTCGGTTAAACATCTTCCTTCAGCTCAGATCATGATCCCAGAGGTCCTGGGATGGAGTCCCACATCAGGCTCCCTGCTCAGTGGGTAGTCTGCTCCTCCCTCTCTTTCCCCCCCCTCCCCCAGCTTGTGTTCTCTCTCTCTCTCTCTCTCTCAGA